ACTACTCCGCAGTCTTGTAATTTCCTAACACAATCCAGAAGACAAGGGAACTCTGTGATCAAGTGTTTGGGAGAAATTTGCCTACGTGGAGAATTTTTTGAAGGAACTAACTTGCAATTGCGCCCCGCGAAAAGGAAAACCTCCCACAGTTAGCCTGACGGCAAGGGGACTGACTCTTCGAGTGAAATTATCTATGAAGGAATTTAAAATTCCTACAAAACTTATCAGACTTGTCAAAGCAGCCCTTTCAAAGGTACTATGTAACATCCAAAATACAGAATGACTTATCCAAGGCTTTTTATTCTTAAAATTATTTTGTTTAAAATTAAAAGTGAGAAAAATATTGTTATTAGTAGTAACATTGATGTTTTGAATTTTATTGAAAAAACTGAGGTTTTTAATATTAATACATTTGATTTTGAAAATCTTTATACCTCATGTTCAAATATTTGTAGTTGCATTTATGATAAATATTTAATTAAAGAAAATATTGATAAATTATATCGGATAGATATTTGTAAATTTAATCTTTTGGAAAATGTACTTTTTAATGGTCTTGATTTTTATAAACAAAAAATAGGGATTCTACAAGGAAATTCTTTTTCTGGTGCTTTTGCTAATATTTTTTTTACATTTCTTTGAAGCTAAGTATCTTTAGTTTAATGATTTTAAAGCATTTAGATATATTGATGATTTAATTTTACTTAATATTTATAATTACGATTTTATTTTTAATGTTCATCCAAAAGATTTGGTTCTGAAAAGGACTAATGAAAATTGCTTATTAATTGCTGTTGAATATTGAGATTTTAAAATTGAAATTGATAATAATCAAATTAAAATTGCTGTTTATAATATAAGGAAGGCTTTTAAGTTTAAGTTCATTTTTTTTCAATTGTCTAGAATTAATAAAATTTGCATTGTCTTTTTGCTAATTTCAGATTAGTTCAATTTTGTAGTATGTTGTGTTTTTTGGCTTTGGGATTTATTGTTTTTAAGTAAGTTTTTGAACATTGTTTTCTGTTGTACAGTACAGAACCCGTTATCCGGAAATCAGAAAACCGGAAAACCAAAAAACCGGAACGAAATTCAATGCATTTTCCCGCCATTAAAAAAAAATTTTTTTTTTTTTTCCTTATAAGATTTTAGTATTTTTCTTTCTATTTTGGAAGATCATCATTTTGGAAGAACCTTACCATCATTTTGAAAATAATCATTAGTTTATTACTTCATCGTTTTTTCTTCGTTTTAAGATTATTTCCAAATTTTTTTCTTTCTCTTTTTGTTGGCTTTAACAATAAAAAAAAACGGCTTTTTGTAGCGATTCAGAAATCCGGAAAAATCAGTTATCCGGAAGAGCGATGGTCCCGATCGTTCCGGATAATCGGTTCCCTACTGTATTAATTTTAGTATTATACTTTTGTATTTGTTTTTGCATTCTTTTTTTTCCCTTCTCTCTTCCTGGACTTTTGGCAAAACCTTTGGGGTATAGAGAGAGCAACTTAAGCATTTGTCGTGCTCTCTCGATAGAAAACTTTTTGTGTTTTAATGACTTCCGAGGCTGGTACCCCCTGATAACATCAGCTTTGATTGTCATTTTTATATTTTTAATATTTTTCCTTGTTTACTTTTTTATATTTTCTATTCCAATGTCTTTTTTACTGATAGGTCTAAGGCAAGGTGATATTCTATCATGCCTACTTTATAATATGGCACTCAAAAGATTTATCAGAGATGCAAAGATAGCAACTAATGACACTTTATGCAAAAAATCCATTCAATTATTTGCATATGCAGAGGATCTTGATATCAATTGCAAATCAAGATGGGCTGTTATTGAGAAATTTGTGGCTTTTCATGCTGAAAATGGGTATATGCATCAATGTAAAAGAAAACAAAATTTATCATAACCAAACAAGAGACTGATAACACACAAATGGTTGTGAATGATCAAACCTGTGAGAAAGTCACTCACTTCAAATATCTTAAAAACAACTATTATCAACAAAAATGAAAGGAATATTGGAATTGAAAAAAGGCTGATACTAGTAAACAGATGTCATTTTGACTTGATCATGATCATTTCTGATCATGACTCATTAGCAATAGAGGTAAAATCAGTATATATAAAACACTAATGCAACTAGATGTCATTTATGTCAATAAAAACTGGTCTGTTTTATTTATGTAAGAATAAATAAAACAGACTACTTTTTTAAATAAAAATATTACGCAAAATTTTAAGAGCTGCACAAAAAAAAAAATTGTATCATGAATTCTTTATAATCGTGAAATTTATAATCAATATAAGAAACAAAACAGCATAAAACCCATCAAATCGAACAAAATAAGGTATTCTGGGCACTTATTTAGATCAGATAAAAAAAACCCATTAAGCTGTTAATTATTGAAAACATAATTGTCATTAAAAATAGGAGAAGACTTCTATTCAGACAGCAGGGTGATATGAAAGATTAGGAAACATTAATAATTGGAAATAACATAGGTCTGATTCATTTTGACGGAAAGAAGTTGAAGGGACATTCGTTATAATAACAACAAATAAATAAGCATTTTCATATATGAATAGTAAGATACGAATATATTAAGATATAAATTTGAAAATTTTTTGCAAAAGAATCAGAGTTTTTGTATCACTCAATGGTCAGATCAGTTTCTGTATAATGTACGCTTCTATATTCTACAAGTGTAGCAAACATTAAATTAATTGTTTACATAATAAAGAATTAATTGCAGCTAAACTTGAATAATTGCATAGTCAATAGTCAGTCACTTAAATACAAGTATAAAAATCAAGCTAGGTATACCAGCTTAAACTGTCTGCTTACTTAAGAAACTACATTACTTCATATAACATAAGTTGATATAGCTAATATAATAGTTTTATTTGTAGAAAATCATCAGTGAGGTTTTTATTTTGGACATAGCTCAAAATGCTGACTTAATAAAATGGACACAGCCCAAAGTGAATTTTAAAAAATGGACACAGCTCAAAATGCACATTTGAGAAAATGAATGTAACAAAAAATGCACTTTCTTGATATTAAACTAAAATTTTAACGGCTGAACAAGAGATTAAGCTTGCTTTTTATATAATGTTTAATTGTTATGAAAACAAAATCATTACAGTGGCTGACTATAATCACAAATTTAAACTTTTCATTTAATCTCTTCATTTTCAGGTCTCTAAATGACAAAAAGGCATTTTAAAATTGAAATTTCTATTTTTGTTATGTATATAACAACTATTACAAACTTATAACACTCATGGCAACAATTTAAATAGAACTGTAGACCATAATAGTCTTTGAAAAAAACAAGACCAAATTAGAAAAAAAAAATTACTATAAGTGATTTTTGCAAGTAGGCAACTTAAGATAATTCAAATTTATTTTGATAATATTAGTTAATTATAATAAATTTAATTAGTTAATTATAATAATAAAAAATACTCATGAAAGAATTTAGAAAAACAGAATTAAATGATGTCCATTTTCTTAAAAATGCATTTTGAGTTATGTCCGAAATGAAAAGCTCACCAACAATTGATTGAAAATTTTAATCCAAGTGACATGCAAAGGATTTAATAAACGATTACAATAATTTTGAATATACAGTCACTGATTATCTAAAAATTTACTTCTGGTGAACAGAATAATGTCATACATAACCAGACATTTAAAAAGCAATTTAATGATTTCTACTTAATAAATAACTAGATCAATAATACCTGTTTCATAACAGGTGAAATATGACATACAGGTGACAATGAACTAATATAGCTGTTTAACTAAAAAATCCTGCATAAATATGCTAATGATAAAATAATTCTAGAACTTATGAATTACTAATGAGCTAAAAATTTTATTATTTATACAAATTTAAGTGTTTTTATTATTGAACACTTATATAAGTTACTTTTACATATTTTATTAATATTAACACTAGGTTTCTTTGGCACTTGCAGTGTCATTAAAACAAAACTCAGACAACCAATTTAATATGTTTTATACATTATCTCGATATAGAGCAAGGTTTGAAATTATTAATGTATTATAGAAATTCAATAAAGAATATTAGGTAAAATTATGAGATTAAGCTAAAAATATCAATTATTAAATAAGTCATGAATTAATAATCTTGCTTTTTCTAATGGTCTATTCTTTTGCTTAATTTTAATATAATATATATACATAATCAGAGTTTGTTGCTTTTATGAGAGGGAAAAAACTAAGTCTGATTTTTAATGCTTTGTTAAACATGAATTTTAAATGTTCATATAACTTCAAGTGTTTAAAAAATTAAGTTGTGAAAAAATTAATTTCGAATAGTAAAGAGATATCACATCTTGTTTATTTCATATCTTAAAATTGTATATAAGAATATAGAAACTTAATAACATGCAATATAACTCAAATATACTCACAAGATCGAGTATTAATTGATGTTTAAGTTAGAATAAAGTTTGTTTAGAAAGTTACTAAGAGACATTTATGGGTTAAAATGTTGGGAGTAAGTTCTTGTTCTACCACCCACGTGTTTTATTTAATTATAAAGCTCTTATTTAAATTCGTATTTATTAGAAACAGATTATTTTTTAAAATTCCTTGTTTTTAAAACAGATATAAGTTGTAAAAGTGCCATGCACAGACATTTTTTTCTTGATTACAGCTAATATCTTATTACATATGTAACATCTGCGGGTAGCAATTCAAAGTCAAAATCATCTTCTGCTAACTGTAAATGGGCAGTTTTGTTTTTCAACGGCGACCGGAAGTTGCCTAATTTATTTTTACACGTAATGAAATGGAAAGTTAAAATGCAAGAATTTAGTTTGATTTCGGAAGTTATTAAATAGTTTCTATCCAAATTTCAGCTTGGATTAAAGCAACATATCTTCGAAAGTTCTTTTCGTTGCATATAAGACAATAATAAAAAAATGAAATAAAAATGAAGTATATAAGTGGGTCTCGATAAATAATCGTAATCGCTTTCGTTTTCGATTCCTTACGACGATTGTTTACTTTTTAATGTGATTGTCATCTGTAATTTTTCGCCGTAATTTTATCCCCTCTTTTTTAAATTATATCATTAAATTTTGTCGTCTAACGTAGAATTTGAATTTAATTAATAAAATTTACTTTTAAATTTCTGAAATATTTAAATATTAGATATAAAATCAACCGACTGACGTGTCCCATATATGCGCAAATGTAAAAAAAAAATAATAAAAGCATGAGATAGAGATTAGTGTATGACTAAAATACATTAAATATGTGAAATACAAGGAAATTAATGTATCGGTTTCGAGTACCAATGTCATGGAGGGCCAGTTGAGATTTATTTATCCTACTTGTAATTTTTTAAGTTAAATTAATCCTTAAAAATGTTCAAGCGCCTTCGAGAGCGCATTTCTGAAGAGGCTTCAAAATCTGTTGCTCAGGTATAAACTAAATAATTTGCATAAGTAATTGTTCGTTTAAGCTTGTAACTATTAGCTATTGAAAACTAAGATTATTCATATGTTAATTAATTTTTAATTCCCGAAATCTATTAATACATTATTAATAAAAACATTGTTTCTTACTTTATCAATAAAAATTGAAATTCGCCATTATAAGATTATACAAGTTATTGTATGAAAATAAAATCTGCTTTAAAAGTAGTTAATGCCAATTAAAATACATTAAATGTAATTTCATGTTTGAAATTTTATTTTCAAGTAGTAGTTATGGTATTTCAAAAACACACCTTAGTATAGTTTAATTTTATTTATATTTATTGCTAGTGTATTTACTACTATAATATCATCTTTGGATTTATTCTCAATGCATCCATATATGAGGCAAGGGCTTCTTTCGGTTCAATACAGGGTGTGTCTCTTGAAATTGAAATTCTGTAAGAAGATGATGTAATGCTAGTGATTTTTTTTTTTTGTAAATTATAATTCTGCATTTGGATTTTCTTTTAAAAAATTAATAGTAATAAAGATTTCCAATATCTAGTTTAGGTAACAATAGTTTATATTGTTAAGGTGTAAATACTCAAATGATCACACCACACATCAGGAAGTTTTGACAATAGTTTCTGTATGATTATATTAATTTTTATTATTTATTTTTTTCTGTTGCTTTAAGAGTTGATGGATATAAAATAAAATACAGTGTGCTATGCATTATCAAATGTTTTTATTAACAGGTCTAAGATCTTTTTGGTAAATGTTTCAATTGTACGTGTTTGTATTGAGATGTTAAATTATATTGCAGTAAAAAAATCAATTATTTTGTGTTATTTAAAATTTTTTTTGTGTTCCTTTTTATAAGTTCAAGTTATTTCTCTTCATGAATTAAAAATTAACAAAAGTATTAATTAATTTGAATTATTTCTCTGACGATTTAACTTATTGTAGCATAATTGGGTTTACTTTTAAAATTGTAAGTTGGTGAAAAAGTTTTAAACTTTATAGTCATTAGTATTTTATAATTGATAGGTAATTGTCAAGAATATTTATTCACTAAGAATTTAATTTTAATTTCTAATTTAGGTTTTCTAAAACAAATGGGCAATTTTTATCTATCTTTTGAGTTGTTTTTCATTTTAAATGAATAACAGTTAGGAACTATTAAAGATAATTATCTAAGTGTTGAATTTATTTAAGATTTTATATTTAGTAATTTCCCAGAGTTCTGTTTATTCTAAATTTTTTCTTCTTCATTTAAACAGTACCTATAATAATAGAAAGAAGTGAATTAACTTCAATATATATGTTTTTGTAATATAACTTAGTTTTGTTATTGTGTGCCTACAAAAATTTTCTATTATATTAGTAGAGATCTAGATTACAATGCTTTCTATTAGTTTGCAGTTTTTTTTTGTATTTGCTTATTTTATAAAGCAATTTTATATTTGTTTGCATGTTTTAAAAAAGAAATGCTGTAGGTAGTTTTTGGAATATTTCTACTGATATTTGTTCATGTCAACTAATATTTCCAAAGTATCAAGTAAAAATACCTAAAATATTGTACGAATGAATATATTTTTTTTAAGCGCTCACTTGATCGTGGTGATTATTTCGATAGAAGTACAAAGTACCGAAATGATCCTGTTTCGAAATTTTTTTTTCCTTCAAGACTTACTTTAATTTTATATTTATTTATTTTAGTTGGGTAATAATGCTGCAAAGCCTACAAGTGAAACTGAATCTAAAGCAGTTTCTGAGGTAAGTTAATAATAATTTAATGATAGATAATAAATTCTACAAATCGAATGACAATCATCCATCTAGATTTTATTATTGGGATTTTGTCTTAATAAATTTTTGAAGACTGAATTTGTTAGGTCAGCTTCTAAATTCTTATTTCAAGAATCTTTAGTTGTTGATTGTAAAAATATTGAATTTTTTTCAATATTTATATTTCTATCGCAGTTAGTAAATTTTTGTTGAAGGTCAGAACTTTGTAAAATGTTTGCTTCTGTGAGTTGATATTTTACAAATTAATTATTTTTGTTAATGAGCCATATGAATGGTAGAATTACTGAAAATTAATCTTAAAAACTTATACATGAGAATGTTACAATTTTCTACTATTTGCATAATGTGTTCCATTATGAAATAATGTTTGCTTGAAATGAATAACTTCTGTGGCTTTAAAGTATTTAGAAATTCCAAATCTGAATATTTTCCAACCATTTAAAAGTTTTCAAAAGTTTTTTTAAACATCCATAATTTATCAAACTTTTTTTCTTCTAGCAAATATGCTAGTAATATTTTTGAAAAACTCATTTAAGATTAGTTTTTGTCCAGAAAGTAAATTTCCAGTTGAACTGAATCCTAATTCTTATAATATTGGTAACTTAAAGGCATCTTATATTTTTTCTGTTTTATGGTAAAACACTAACATAATTATATTAAAATAGGTAAATAATTTTAATTAGAGTTAAAATGTGTTGGGAATATTCATTTCTTTAAAGGTTACCGTATTTGTGCTGTCCAATTACAGAACCTGTTTATAGTAATTTTTGAAAAGAATAAATATCCAAAATCTCCAAAAACTTGTTTTCACTTAGTACTTTTTATAGTTTTAATTTCACTTAAATTCAAAATTTAAACTATCTTGTAAAGTTTACTTGTCACATGTTATAGTGAAACACGCTCATGTCATAGTTTTGCATAATTATCTTAAGGCTTTTTATGCAAACTATAGTATTGCCTAAAATATAAGTATATAAGCCCTGTGGTAGAATTCTTTCGAGCTATTTGCGACCAAACTTTCTAGTGCTAATATCTTTCTGCAAGATGCTTTTGAAAATAACAAAGATATATGTTATTAATTTAAAATAACAAAAGTGCTGTGTTTAAAAACAAACAAACTATAATATATATATATATATTTTTTTTTTCTGATTGAGCATGTAATAATTTTTTATTCTAATATTATGGATGATTTTATTGGGGGGAGCACGGACAAATTATTTCCTTCTTTGAATTTTGTAAATAATCATCACGATAAAAAATAATTAAAAATCCTAAAATCTATGGTAATAATTACAGAAAAAATATTGACGAAATCACGCGAAACGGTCTCCTGAAATGCGTGTTTTGTTTCGAGTTTAGGTTTTTGTAATAGATAATATCGTATAAAAATATCGGATTTAAAAACAATGGAGAAACTGCAAAAAGTTCGATAGAATTATTGCCTTAAAAAGTAAATACTCAAATGCACGATTTGAGTTTTCCATATTGTTTGAAATATATCGCAATATTTAAAAACCTTGTGAAAATTAATATCATTAACTGTCTAAAATATAATCGAAACATTACATCAATTTATGATATTATCTATGTGAAAAGGTGATTATCTAAATGCATGATTCAAGTATTACGTGTAAATTTCTGTAGAGAAGAAAATTAAGCATTTTTGCTTTTCAAAAGAAAAATCTTTCTGCAAAAACTATGTAACGTTCTGTGACAAAGTCGCCATGCCACCACAGGGAATATAAGTTTCCTTGCAATATTTTAATATGGTAAATTTACTCCTTTGTTGTAAATTTTAGGATTTAATAACTCTCAGTGAAAGTTCTGCTGTTGTTGTGCCTCATACAAGTGCTCAACAGTTTAGCATCGGAGAAGATGATGATGGTTCTATGAGTGAACAAAGTACTCCTCAAAGAAATGTGAGTTTTTTTTAAAAATTACATTGGTGAAATTATAGCACAATTTTGTTTGCTTTAAGTAGTTGATAAACAATTTTCATTTTCAAAGCGTTTTATTATAATTTTTTTTTAATTTACTGAAGTTTTAAGTTACTAAAAATTTTTTAAATGTTTAATAAATTTAATAGACTTATATATGAATAAATCAGGGCTGATTGTGCTCCGAAAAAAATCAGGATTTCCAGATTTTTCGCTAACAGTGATCCGGAGATCAAAGGTTCAGGCGTTTAAAAAAATCATTGATCACATCATTGAAGGTTCCGGAAATCAAATTTTCAAAGGTGGAGCTTAAAAACACAGTTTATTTTATTTGTTTGTAAGTGAGAACCAGATACTTTGTAAGCTTATATTCATGATTAATATTCATTTTTTATCAGTAAATAGTTATTATAATCTTAAACTCGAGAAAGAAAGACATATTTGTAAATTTTAATTACTTCTCCAGCTCATCATAGGTATGTGTAAATGGTATAGGTATATATAAAATTTTAAATATATTTTAAGTAAACTAAGAAATATTGAGAAAAAGGAAGAAAAAAAACTTGTTTAAATTTTTTTCTAATTTTTCAATTTAAACTGTTTTTTTTTTTTTTTAATTTCAAGAAATTTTCCGGAATTTTGACTTGGGCTCACNAGAATGTAAAAATGTATAACTAATTCATGAATGTGTTAATCATGATGAAATTTTTTATTATTTATAATTAAAAATTAGTTGAATTATGTATATAAAATTAATGTTTTTTCTTTTAATTATTCTATTTATATCTAAATTTCTATGATTTAAAAAAAATCAATTAGAAATTAATAATGTGCCTGTAATTAATGATGTGTTATTTAAATGATTCAGAATAAAAACTTTGCATCTTTATCTATGAAAGGAATTCCTCCTGCCATTTGTCTGTAGTAGTGGTTGTGACTATGCTTATGAGGTTTAACTATTTCAATTAGGGGTATTGGATCAGCAAGAGAAAGGGAATTAAGGAAATCAGAAAGGGAACATTACCTCTTTAAAATGCGCTATTTTTCGTTTCCATGGCAGCAGATAGCCTCAGACTAAGTTGTGAGAGGAGTAGGAGTTCTTTCTATTTAAAAATTAGAGATTTTGCATTCTATAAATTTTGTTACAAAATTGAAATGCTGTTTCAAAAGTTTAAGCATTTTTATATTCTAATTAAAATAATTAATAATTTATATTTTAAGAAATTGTTGCTCTTAGTTTTATTGTAAATACTAAGATGTATTTTATATTATAAAAAGTTTATGATTAAATCATTAAGTATGGAGGCAGTTTGTTTATTTAACTGGTTTTTGTTTACAGGTTGATGTTACAAATGGCTCTGTCTCAGGAGGCAAAGACCATACACCTGCTGGTGATACTAGTTTTTCTCAAGAATATCGTCCTAAAAGGCTAAGTTATGTACCACAGTCTGATATTGAAAGTGAAAGAGAAGATCCTCCTACATTAAATCTTGAAGGAATATCAAAGGAGCAGCTCTTAAGTGTTATAGACCTTTTAAAAGCTAGAACATATAAATATAAAAATAAATATTCTGAAGTGAGTTGTATTATGTTTTTAATTTTCTTTTTTACTTTATTTTACTTATTCATGTCAATTTCAAATAGTGTCAAAAGCACTTATTATTACTTGGGATTAAGATGTGTTTGATGATGAGACTTTGGTACATTAACATTTTGTGAAGCTTGTAGTGTTAAATAAATAATTGTTTCAAAAAATAAAAATATTTGTTTTAGATTTTTAGATTTTTTTGTTGTTGTCATTCTCAGGGGCAGTATTAGATTGCAAAACATCTGTCATTTCTGTGATAACTTATGTGTGTTGATCTGCAAAAATTGTTTCCTTTTGCTGTTTGCAATGAACTTTGTCAAATCTCAACTGAAGTATATATTTATGATATTATCAATGAACTAAGTTAGCATTCAGATTCCAAATGTAATGACTATATTTTATTTATAACTATTTATGTTAACAATTAATATCTATTTATAACTTATTGTTTATTTATATTTGATAATAACTTTGAGGACTGATCTTGTGCCTATTTTCTGTTATGTGTTGATCAATTATGAAAGTAGCAATCATGATTGTGATGAAAAGCTGATATGTACAGTATTTGTCCTGATACCATAATCATGGGGGTTGCAGTGGCCCAATTTTTTGAGGCGATTGAAATTAAATTACGCAGTCGCAATAGTTCTCTAAATTATAACACATAAGAAAAAAAATTTCTTATCTATCCTAAATTCTAGAAAAAAGATTCATAATTTTTATCTTTTTCTATTTTTTAACTTTAAGGAATTTAAATTGATAATTAGTGAAAATTTTCTTTATTTTTCTGAAATATCAAGGACAAATTATTTAGAGGGTTCAATATCAAATTTTTTAGGGTGATATATACCTGCCCCAATCATAACAGAAGAGGTTAAAATAAAAGAAGTAATCTGAGCTGATGATGGAAACCATGAAATAACATGGTTACTTCATAGTCAATATTTTAGCAGTTTGTATCTTGTAAGGATGTTTGCATATGTTATGAGAGTCGAAAAAACTAGATTTTTTCAAGGACACTGAAGAGCTGTCATAACTACCTACTTTGCCTCCTATGGGAGAAATTAATTAAAAAAAAATCTCATTTTCAAACAAAATTTTGAAATTTTTTTTAATGCTGATTTCAGAGTATAATTATAAATAATATCAATATAATTAATAATAATAATCAAATTCATTTCTAGTAAAATTATTAATATAATGAATAAAGTAATTATGCCTAACAATAATAAAATTATTTTATTTCTGTTTTCTTTAGTTGTGCATAAAAACTTTAAAAAATATTAGATATTAATAGTTATTTTAAAAATTGTATCTATATTCAACATCAAGATGGTTTAATCTGTATAAAGTGTAATACTTTTGCTGATTTTCATTTAATAAATTAGGCATTCCAAAGTCGCCTCACTTCAGGTTTTGACTTAGTGACAAAGAGCAGTGACCAAAGACTTAGTGACCAGTTGTGCAGTCATATTTTTAAAATATATATATATATANTTTTGTTTTCCAAATTTTAATAATATTTATTTATTTATTTATTTTTTTTCCTGCTCTACATTGCAATTTAAGCAAGATATCAAAGGATACCAATTATCTGTTTAACTTTAAATGTGATTCAACACACTTTTTTCTTTTTTCAAAACAATAACTTCTTGCAAAATTTGTTTTCAAATCTTATCTAACTTGTAAGAAGGTTTACAATACTATTTTTCTGTTAAAGGATTTGCTGTAATTAATATTTCCTATATCTAATTTATTATATTAGAAAAATAGAAATATTTTCATGTTATTTAATTTGTATTTTTAGCAATACATGGATAAACTGTACTTTCTAGAAATTTTTTTGTAAATGTAAAACTTTATAAAAATAATGATTTATTTCATTTCTATTGAAAACTTGCTTTTTTTTTTAAGGAAAGGAATTTATCTGGCTCGGTTAAATTTCTTATTTGACTGCTTATTACATTGCTTACTTTGCAGTTACATTGCTTATTTACATTGCTTAAATTTGCATATTTGAATTTTTATTCTTTTCATAAAAATTTTATTCTTTTTGAAAATATTTTATGTGTTTTATACCTTATCAAAATCTGTTTTGCTGAATGTTTTTGATTATTTGTAGGTTGTAAATAATTTTAAGGAGTTGAGGGATGAGAAGACAAAAATTGAGGTAAGACTTGTCTTTATGAAAGGGTAAGCCACCCTTGAAAAAATGTTTAGCAGAGCTTTGCTTATATTATATATATTAAAATAAACTAAAATGAGATTTACATATTTTTAAAGATTTGGTATCAAAGGAGTAAAAAAAATTTTTTTTTTAATTAGGAAGAATATATGTATACTAAAAATCTATGTATACTAAGAATCTATTTATACTAAATTCTTACTACCTTTAAGTTGGTTTGCTTTTTGCAGCTAAGCAAGTAATATTTTGCTTGATCTTTAGCTCTGCATATATTTTGAATTCATATTTTTTATTATCATGTAAATGCAGTTAAAATGCTAGCACATAGTCTTTTACGCATGCTAATTATATGATCTTATTTCTTAATGATATAAATAGCTTATTTATAAATTTTTTTTGTTGTTTAAATATATTTGTCTTAACATAAACAAACAAAATTTTATGTAACCATATTTCTATATCCTTTAAATTGACTTAATTTCTATTTTATTCAAAAGAAAACTCTCATTGACACTCAAGATAAAGGATCCAGGCGTATTGCAGAACTTAGAGAGCAATGTCAACTGGAGCAAAAAGCTAAAGCTCATCTTGAAGCTAATCTTAGGTTAATGTTAGAGGAAAAAGATAACAGAATATCTGTTCTGGAAACACAGGTAATTTTATTCTTGTTGTTACTTTGGTTTTGTAGTTCAACTGAAGAAAAATGTTATTCTATATTATGGAATGTCATATTCATGTTTAATAAATAAATACTGATTTAAAAGAAATTACAAATAATTTTTATAGTGCACTTACATTCCTAATGTTGAAGGAAAAGGATACTGTTAAAAATTGAAACAGATTTATAAATTAATTCCAATAATGATTCTGCTAGACTTTAGAAACTGCAGGTCCTTAAGAACCATGTCTTCGAGATTTCCGTGCCCTTCCCCCCCATAAAAATGGATTCACATACATAAAACTTAAACTTAATATTTTTAAAATTTCTTTGTTTAAAACATTTTTATTAATGGAATTTACCTTAGTGAGTTAATATTCATTAAAAATCTAGATAATTACATAGAAATTTAAATTTTTTAATTTAAATCCGATGGATGCTTCCTTTTTTATTTGTATAATAAAGGAATAATTTTGACTATAATTCAAATAGATTTAAATGATTTTTTGTGTTGGTATTTTATTAATTTTATGCTGATTTACAAGAAACGAGTTTATTATTGATTTCTTTAACATTAAATTTTTTCATGGACAAATCTCTTTATCAATTGTACAGTCACCATTTATGTGAAAGCAGTTTTGGAGCCTAACTTAAATCTTGTTTTTAATATTTATTCTGGGAAAAAAACAGTGAAATGATTCATACTAATTGTGGTTTATTACTTTTTTATTTGTTAACAAATTGAAATTTACCTAACTGGCAAATTTATTTTCATCTTAGATAAATCTTTTGAAAGACACTAATAAGACTGATGATTCAAGTGGCCTGCAAGAAAATGTGCAACAAACATTAGAAGGTTCAAATGGAGATTTACTAACTGGTGACATTGTTCTATTGCCTGGTCAAGAAAAATCTGCTCTCCATGAAAAGGTAATGAATTCTTATTGTATGTTTTTATTTCAATGTTTATATGTTTAGACAAGACTTGTTTTTCATTAAGTTTTTTTTAAGCAGACAATGAACTGTGCAAGATTTATGAACAACCTGATATTATTAAATACATAAAAATAAATAGAATGAATTGGATGGTCCACGTGATTCGAATGAGTGATGACAATGAAGATACTGCTTTTTAGACCCACTGGAACAAGAAAGCAGGGAAGGCCGCAGTTGAGATGGGCTGACTCAGTGGAATCTGATTTTCTCGCAATTAATGAAAAGAATTGGAGATCAAAGGTGAATCAGAAGTCGTCATGGAGAAATCTTCAGAGGAAGGCATTGGCTCACATTGGGCTGTCTAGCCAACTATGGTGATGATGATGATTATTGTAAAAAATTAGTGAATATTTTTAGTTACATAAGTTTCACCTACCTTATATATGCAAATTTTGCCATATTTGCATATATAAGGTAGTCTGCATATTAATTTTTGCATATTAATATTTGCATATATAAGGTAGTCTATATAAGTTATATAAGGTTGCTTCGTCTGACTGATAGGGTCGCAGAAAAATATAAATTCATGAGGATTGTGTTGTAGATTGACTCTAGAAATTCTACTACTAGGCTTAGATATATAAAGATAAAAATGTATGGTATTATGTTATATTCTTATTGTATGTCAGGGATTTATGAAGAAATAAGCTGTGTATAAATATGTTGATATTAATTCTTTCATAATAAAAGTAATTTCATTTTACTTTTTTTTTTATCATTCTAGTTGGAAAGATTAGATCATCAATACAACCAAGCAAAAAAAACTATTACAGCTCAAACTGAACAAATAGCTCTACTAAGGAAACAAAATGAAAATCTTTCTCAGGAACTTGAAGAAAAAGTCAAAAGAGTGAATGAGTTAGAGGTATGTGCTATTAAACATTACTGTGATGCAAAATTCGGTTAAAAATATACTGGAGTTTCGATCAATGCAGACACATATTTTCAAGGTACTGTGACTGTTCATAAATAGAAACTTGTTTTCATCTTATATTTGTGTCTCCAGTTTTATTCTTGGAGATGAAATTTTAAATCTTCTGTCAAAAATCGATTATTATTATAATTACTGCTATTTTTTTTTCTAATTGTTTTAACGTTTCATGTTTATCCTTCACATTTTTTGTCTAGTTTTGAAAATAAATAAAATATTTAAAATTATGTTCTTTATGTATCAATTAAGGGAGATTGATGTTGATAAGTAAACAGCAGCCGGTTTTTAAAAAGGCACCATAACTAAGATTTATATCAGTAAAAAAATAATGATATATAATATAATATTCTCTAAAGTTAACAAGGTGAAAATGAGACATGCAATAAATGAACTGTTAATGATACTTTTTAAACTAATTGTTTTAAAAATTTGAATAATAATCTTAATACATTTTTTAAAAATTCAATTTAAAAGTTGTTTTTTTAAAATTTAACTAAAGAGTGCGTTACAGAATAAAATCAAAAGATTTTTGTTGTTAATTATTCATAAAAAAGACGTCTGAGTAAAAACTGTGCAGCTATATTTTTGTTTTCCTGAAATTAAAATTCATAAAATTTCATTGCTTCCTTATTTATATTAAAAACTTTTTTTATTATTGTTATTCAGTCAAAAAAATCATAGAATATCTATAAAGGTTCAAAAAGTATATTCTAGCTATTTTAGATTTGATAATGATATGTTATCACATTTTATTTCTCATACCAACAATTATTTTTCAATGATAAAAATCTAGTTTTTATTGTAATAAAAGTTATTACAATAAAAACTAAACTATTCTTTTCTTAATAATGAAGTTTACAACCTACTCTCGCTTATTCTGGCTGATGGCTGGAAAGACGAAACTGAAAATTAGAAATTAAAAAAAGTCCAAAAATGTTTCTTTTTTTTTTTTAACTTTATATCTATAATTAAAAGTTATATCAGAAGCTTATATGATGTTGAGAATAATATTAATGAAACATATAATAATTTCAATTTCATGATGTGCAATGTCTTTAAATTTGCTATTTTGTGTTTTTTAAATCCTATTTATTTTGCTATTACCCGAGTACACCTGTTTAAATATCTCACGAAGATTTTGGTTTCATGACCTTGGATTACTAGTGATCCAAAATTTCAAAACTAAAGCAGAACCACAGAGCTACTGGTTATCTTGAACCAATGGTGATCCATGATCACGCATTATCATAGGACCTGGTTCTGTTATCATGGGATCGCTTTATCTTTTCTTATGGAGTGAAAGCTCTTGTTTGATTATTAATGTTAAAACGTAATAACAAAAGGAAAATTTCTCATAATTTTTTTTAAAACTATTTATTTTTTAAAATTTAAGTCAAGCACATATAAATTATAAATTGGAAATGTTATGAGTAATTGGAAATGTACAGTTTTTCATAATGTTTCCTAGAATAATAAATGTGACACTATTTCAAAATTTCCTGTTATTGCTTTTTTAGGATCAGCAGGTAGTAATAAAAGCAGAGCATGAGGTTATTCTAAATAGTATGCAAATTCGCTTGGAGGAATTAGAAAAGCAGCAGGAAGAAAGTGCGATGTCAATGGCTGAAACAAAGAGAAATATGCATGAAGAGCTTGAATTAAAGGAAAAGCAGCTTGTGAAAGCTAAAAAAGAATCTAGTCAGTATCAATCTGCAGGTATTAAATACCACATTTGACATAATTTACTTAATAACATGTTAAAAACAAATATTTTAAATTAAAAATTGCTTACATGTTAAGTTTTAAATTTACTTGGGTATTTTATTTTATTTGTTTTTTGGAAACCAGATTAAATCAGATTGTGTATTCTTATTAAATATTTGGCATTTGGCAAAAACTACGGTTTTGTAGTAATGAGTAAAATAAATTTTGAATTAAAGCCAGATAACTTCTATATTAAATTTGTAAAACTTAGTAGCCTCTCACACCAATTCCATCTATGTGGTTGAAATTTCTTTCAACTGAATGAAAAAAAAATTTTTTTTGTACAAATTTTGATTAATTTAATTTTTTTTCATTTTGCCTATCATTTATTTAATGAAACCTTTTCTAACAGTCTTCGGAAAAATTTATAGACTTTTTTTGAAACTTTTATATCTTATGTTTAATAATGAAAGACAAATGTGAATTTTACATGCATGTAATACATTGGCTGCTACTGAGATTTGTGTGAATGTGTAATTTGTTGCTGGCCCTAGACAACGAATTTTTCAAAGTTAAGGATGAAAAATAACTAGGATTAGTAATTGTTATTTGGACATCTATTATGAAAGTTATGTTTTTGACTTCACTAAGTGACGTAAACGAAATGAAATTTTATTGGATCTANTAATAATGAAAGACAAATGTGAATTTTAAATTCATGTAATACATTGGCTGCTACTGAGATTTGTGTGAATGTGTAATTTGTTGCTGGCCCTAGAGAATGAATTTTTCAAAGTTAAGGAAGAAAAATGACTAGGAGGAGTAATTGTTATTTGGACATCTATTATGAAAGTTATGTTTTTGACAGCACTAAGTGACGTAAACGAAATGAAATTTTATTGGATCTATGTGATTCAAACTGGGAGATCTTTTTTAAGAATATATGCTGTTAAAGCCTATGGGTCCATATCATTTTAAGGACACTTATTTCAGCCAACACCATCTCTTCATTGCTATTATTGGCTGATTTCTTGTCTTGAAAAATCTTAATGAAGTATGCTAGGGCCTGTAAGGAGAAAAAATAGTGTAGTCCACCATTTATTACAATAAAACATGACACTTCAAAAGAGGGTTTTGTTCTCGGATAATACAAAATCCCTACTCTACTAAGGATGCAAAAGTATCCATTCATCACTTTGGATGGGCGGGATTCATTCACCTGTCCTACAATCTTCATGTAGCCTCTTCAGATTTGAAGTTTTTCATCAAATTAAAGTCAACACTATACTGTTGGAACAATACTTTTGAAGCAATGAATAAGTTCACGGTGATTTAGCTAGACTTTAGTTATTAATGGTCTTTAGGACCCAAGACGTCCGTATTTCTTTTTTTTTTTTTATTACTAAAAGCAGTTCGTATTTAAATTATTACTCAACCTCTTTATCCATCTATTATTACTCTAATTCATAATATTTTATCGATTAACTGGGATCTGGCCAGGCCAAATTTACTACCATTTAGTGATACTTTCACAAGTTGAACTTCAGGAAAAACAGTAGTTTCACAAAATACTTTTTCTTAAAATTTTATTTTTGTATCCCTTAAGAAACGATAAATCCATATTTTTATCATATTTTTGTGTTGATTTTTTAATATAATTTTTAATTTTCGCAAAATAGGTACCTCTCAGAAAAACCTAGACAGACCCCTGATTAATAGACAAAACAAAGAATTTCAAATCTAGAAGAGTTATATTTGAATAATCAAGGCTTTAAATTAGGGCTGATCAAACAACTGTTTCTGTGCTGGAAAATGATGTGTTATCTATATGATTTTTTTGTATTTGACAGGATATAGCTTGTAAGTGGAATCACTGAGTGCAGCAGGCAGTCTTAAGAAAGTCCTTAAATTTCTTAACTCAATTTTTTTGCAGGATTATTTCTTGAAATTAATTTTTTTCTTAAATTAAATGCCGGAATAAGAACAGAAATACGTGGAAAATAAAAATAAGCATGTAATTTGCTATGCTATTTTATGTTTCAATATTTTTCCTTCTATGTTTTTTCTTTTTACCATAGAGCTTCTGTTTGTAATAGAGCTTGTTGAAATGTTTTTCAGGATATACCCAGAGTTCATGTGTATTTTTATGTACCTGAAAATATATGTGTGCATTTTTCAGTTTAAGTTTTATTTTATTTATTGTATATATATGAATTAAAAATGAATTTTAGTTGAACTTGAGAAGCAGAAATTAGCAGATCTACAAAAACAATATGAAGATAAATTAAGTGAATTGCAGAGGCAGCTCGAATCAACTGAAAAGACACTAGAGGATGAAAAGCAAAATCTAATGCAAGAACTTGCTCGAGGAAAAACTGCTGCTATTGCTTTAATGCAGGTAAAAGAATTCATTACAATTACTACAAGCATTACATGATTATGATGTATTGCTTGTAGTAAATGTAAAATGTCAATTCACTTACTCAAGTATTTATAATTTATAAGTGCTCTTGTCTATTTTGTTAATGTTGCAAATGATTTTCTTTTTTAGCTTTATCATGCAAATTAGATACAGAATTGACACTTCTGTCTTTTAAACTATGCTTACAATCCTATTCGAAGAATTCTAGCTTAAAGAACAGTCTAAAAATGATGGTGTTTTAAGTTAATTTGATAACGTTCTTTGATAAAACAAGCAAACAAAAATTATTAAATAAAGAAAATAAATGACAATGAGTGACAGAATAGTTTTTATCTAATATGGAATTGCCATGTATTTTATTACGAGCATAAATATTCAAATGTGTTATCATTTGAGCTGTTGGTTTTGTTATCAAACTAATAAACTATTTTAGTTTATTATTTTTTAACTCATTTAATTAATAGTTTTTTTTAATTTATTAAACAACTATTTTAGTTTAACTATTAAGCGACTATTTTAATAATTTTAAATAGTTGCTATTCACGTGTTTGATTTTTTAAAATTAAATTACAAGATGTGTTATAGTTAATTAATGAAACATTATGAATTTGTAAATAAGTGTGTTTTTGTATTTGTATATTTATCAATGTTAATTAAATTGTAAATTTGCCATATTTTTTGCCATATGTTAATTTATAATAAAAATGTTAATTTATAATAAAAAGGTTCCTGCAATAGCTCATTGGGGGAATAAAAACCCTGGGTCACACAATTTCATGACCAATGACATAACCATGGCAATATGGTACATATAAGTTTCAGATAAGTTGGTATCCATTGTTCTGCAGCCTGATGTGCTACAAGCTGCCACTAAGGTTCAAACCCTAGTCCTTCATGATAGCTTGGTGACTTTAACCAATTAACCTTCTCAATTGTATTAAATTATGATAGTACATTGATTTCTTATCTATAAACGCTTATAAGTATGCCATTATTTTAAATTTTATAATTTTTTTTTGTAGAAAGATTGCGCTAAAAAAATATCAGCTGTTGAAGAGGAATGGAAAGCTAAACTACTTGAATTCCAGTCACAAAAGTCTCAAGTGAGTGTATCTTACTTTGAATGCTCTTTGTATTGTATTGAATGCACTTTGTAAAATATTTATTGTATCATTATAATCATACACATTTTTCCTGTAAGTTTCTTTTTGCTCTAATCATGTATATTGTGAGACAAAAGCAATTCAATATTTTCTTAGATAAGTAGCTCTTGTTAGTATTTTTCTGTAGTTGTTTGGTATTTCAGATTTCAACAAATTTTGCAATTAAATTTTTTTAGTTGTAATGCTTTCTATAAAGTATATTCTATTACTTTTAAAGGGATTAAGAGCATGATAATAAAAATGTACAAAGGCAACAGTCAATATCAATTAAGTTAGACGTTAAAATTAACTTTGTAAATTAACTAAAGTTAATATTATTTTAAATTTTTTTCCAATCAGTACTATCATTTTCTATTTTTACTAAACCATAGCTTCTCCAAAGTTTTCTAAATAATGTGATATGTTTATAATAATGTGAGGGCCTTCCAATTTATGTCTGTTGCTTTTCTGATTTCATCTGACAATCTTGTTTTTAATCCATAGAAAAAAAGGTATGTTTATTCAGAGGAAGAACGTTTTTGTGTCTGATTTTGTAACCTAAAATATTGTCTGCACTTATTAATTAGCATATTTGAAATCGTTTTTTATTGTGTGCATTGTACAGTAATTTTGGCTCTAACCATTATATAGCGTAAGTTTAGTTTGAAGCATATCTGAATCATTTGTTTTTTAAATGTTTCATAGCAAATGCTTTGAAGTCTAGCCAAGCAAAAAAAAATTTTAATGTTTAAAAATTAGATGATTCAGTGTATCTGTATATTTTCTACCTTAAATTTCTCTGTTTTTATTTACTTTATGTATCTATTTTGTGATTTGAATATGTAATGAATATGAATCTTATGAAATGTCAACTCTTACTACATTTTGTTTTGTTGCTTTTATAGGGAGAAGAAGAGAAAAAGGGTTTTCTGGAAATTCAAGACAAATTGAATCTTGCTGAAACTCAAGTTCAAGAATTAAATTCTTTAGTAAAGCAGTTAGAAAATGAAAATGGATCTTTGAGAAGTGCTTCAGAGAAACTTAAAACAGTAATTATATGAATTTTTAAAAAAAATAAATATTACTTAAAATTTTGATGCATTAAAATTCTCCTAAATATTTGAGTGTTAATATTTTTTTATGAAAATAGTATTTTTAATTTTTCAAATGTATATAAACAAGCAGTTCATTGTATATAAAAATGTATCTAAACAAGTGGTCATTATTTTAGTTGGTTAATAATTTATTATTTTTGGAAAATTGCTGATATTAATTTTATGACCCCAAAAAGATTTTTAAAATCACTTCTAAATATTTATTTAAAAAAAAATAATAATAAATATCTGTAGTTTTTGACTAAAAACTAAAATATTTTTTAGCTTGAATCTGTAATTTGATGTTGTAGAATGGATAAATGTTTCTAAGGGGCATTGGGTGTTAATGCATTTAGACTTTATTTAAAAATTAAAAATTTTTAGGTTAATGATTTTGAGTGCTAGCTTGGCTTTATCCTTTTGTTGCCCTTGAAGAATCTAAACATTTTTTAAAACTTTTTACCGAGGACATTAAAATCTACTTAATAATATTTTTTTTAAAATTTTTCTTATTAAACATTCAACCAATAAATCATTCAGAAAAAATTATATGGGGATTTAGCTGAAACCCTAGGTGTGTGTTGGTCCTTTTAAAAACTATTTTTTTTTTATGGATCTTCAAATAAATGGATGATATTGTTTGAATCTTAAATTGGAAGAAATTTTTTTTCCTTATTTTTTTAAAAGAAATTTTCTTCCTTTTTACAATGTTTCTATTATGTTACGTTTCTATAATACATTGTCTATTTTTAGTAGTCGTTGGACGTAAAATGAGTTAAAGAATAATATGCACAATTTTAGACTTAGTAAAAATATTTTAAGCATTTATCAATGGAATAGGGAAGAAATTATGAATAAAATATTTATCTGTTTCAATTTTAAATAAGGAAGAGAATTAGCTTAAATATTTATCAGTTTAGATTTCAAATAATGTAAGTATCTATTTCTTTTAATTCACAATCTTGTTCTTTTTTTATACTTCATAACTAATACATAAATAAATTGTTTATTGTATTATTATTATTATTTTTTTCTTGTAAGACATTCTTTGGATTCAATTATTCAATTTTTACAGATAAATTGACTGTACGTATATAAAACAATGTTTAAATAAAACGAATAAAAAATAAATAACAAACAAGGAAATAATTTATTAAAAATTTAAAAAATTATATTTGAATAGATAATCACTTTAAGGTTTCAGTACTGGATCATTTTCTAGATCTTCAAGTCTATTATTTAAATATCATGATATAACTCCTTTGTGACTGTAATTTTCAAGAAAACTGCCAAATATGGGAAAATTTTTTATTCATACAAATCATGAATGAATTGCACCTAGTTTTACATTACAACATGATATTTCAGCTCAAGATGTTTTCCTATATAGTAACATAAGTAAAACTGGTTTTGACAGATTTCTATGTACAGAACTGTTGGATACGCTGGGTACCGTCATCCAGTATGTAAATTAAAGAAAAATTACTTATGAGTATTATACATAGATTTTATTTACTTATTTAGTGTGTCTTTTTTGAATGCTGCAACTGGAAACATCATGAGTAGAACGAAACTTAGCTCTTAAGTTTTGACACAGATGGTAAAGAACTGGTTACTTTTGACTGAAGAATGCGTTGATGCACATCTCAATATGTTATAATTACAAAGTCTCTTCATCTCCAAGTTGTCTTTAGATCCATATGCATTCAGACATATTTTTTTTATAAGCTGTAGAAAAAAAAAGCTTGAAGATTTCATATGAAATAATAATATTCAAATGTAGAAAAATTAGCTTAAATTTATAGCTAGCAGAATAAAACAGCTTAGACTTTTCATTTTGACTAGTAAAATTATGCTTTCCTGTCTTTAAATCTTCTAAAGTATTTTCATTTTTCAACAGGAGTGTGACAACAGAAATGCTGAAAATGAAAAACTGCAGACCAATCATGCTGATTTAGAATATTTAAGGAAGCAGGAATGCTTAAATTATGAAAATAAAATAAATGAATTGAGTATACAACTTAAAAATTCGTATGACCAAGTCCGCACATTGGAGCTTAAAGAAAAACAATATATTGACTGTTCTTCCCTTTTAAAAGATGAGTTAAATGAAAAGAATCTTGTTATTAGTGGACATGAAAAACAAGAATGTGAATTTAACTTTAAAACCAATGAATTAGAAAATGAAATAAAAATGTTAAATTCAAAGCTAAAAGAATTTCAGTTGAAAGAGAATTCTAAACTTAAAGAAATTCATCAGTTACAAGAATGTATTAAACAACTTCAATCCAAAGAAAATATTGCAAATGAGAATTTATTAATGTGTAAAAAGGAACTTCAAGAATTGAGAAGAGAAAAACAAGAGTTAGTTTTAAGCAATGCATCATTAAACAGTGAAGTTATGGAACTGCAGAGTTTGTTGCAACAAAGTGAAGAAAATAGGCACAAGCTAGAAACAATAATTCACCAGGCTGAAATAGAAATTCAAGATTTAAGTGCTACTTTTGATGGAAAACTGGAATATTTTCTCCAATTAGAAAAAGACATTTCTACCATTGAGAATGGTATTGCATTATTTGAAAAAGAGCATTCAGATTTCAGGAAAGTTATTACTTCTTTTGAATTAGCTTTTGAAAAACTGATTAAAAATTACAATGATTTTCAAATTCATTCACACAATGATTCAAAATGCTGCAATACAACACTTAATTTATCACAGTCCAAATTTGATTGTCTTGAAGATACTGTGATATTTGAAGAGTTGGGAAATCAGTCAGTTACTTGTGACAGTACTAGTACTGATTTCTCCAAATTTTCTGAATTAAAAAGTGTAAAAGAAAGTCAGAAAAGTGTAGAGAATAAGACAGACAGTGAAAAACAAAGTTTATTAGAAGACCTTGTTAAAGAAAATTCTGATTTAAGAAAAGAACTGCACCATATTAAAGAACTTTCAGATTGTCATAATTCAGAATGTACTAAAAATACAGCAGAGCTTCAAAAAGCACTTGATAATTTATGTGAAGAACGTAATAATCTTAGCTTAGTTTTGCAAAGTATTGATACACAATTTAATGAAATGAATTCTAGCACATTTTTAAAGCCAACCAGCAGACAAAAACCTGAAATTTATGTAGATGTAGCTGAAGACAAAAACAAATTGAACATTCCTGAAGTTAATTTCTTAGAATTGAATTCTAAAGTACGGTCAGAAATTGAGGCTCTGTCTTCTCAAACTGAGTTGATTAATCGTGAACTGAAAATTCTTAGAGAGCAGTTTAATGCTTCTCAAATTGCTTTTTCTGAAAACGTCGCACATCTAAATTCTAAACTTTTAAGTAGAACTGAGCTGTTGCTACGAGTGAAAGAAGAATTGGATGATGTTCTGGAAACTTCTGAAAGTCTAAAAAAGATGTTGGAAGACAAAGACAAGCAGTTAAATGAGTCTAAAGAAGCCTTCTTGTGCAATGAAAAGGAGAAAAAAGAACTTGAAAATAAACTTAAACTCATAAAAGATAAGTACATTAAAAAGGAACTTGAACTGAAACAAGCTCATAATGTACAACTCTGTGATTTAAAAAATCAAACTAAAGATACTATCGATCGTTTAAATAAAGAATTAGCAAAAGCTACCACAGTTCTTGATAAGAAAGAAGAAGAATTTTCACTCAAGCTTAAATCTGTCAAAGATGACTATAATTGTGAAATAAATAAACTTGCTAAGAGTTTCAATGGAGTTTCTTTGTTTCAGAACATATGTGAAAATCTATCAGCTACTGAATCTGACTTTGAAAATAGAATTTCAGACAAACTTTTGCTCTTTGACTTGTATTTTCCAAAAATAGAATGTATGCAATCCAAATTAACAAAGATTAAGTCAAAACTGGAACAGAAAGATCTATTAATAAATGAACTTATGATGCAGGTTAATTCAGTAAATAAACAAATATTAGATATCAAAGAATATGAAACCGGTTTAAGGAAATTGAAGGAGGATGAAATTTCTACGCTAAAAGAAAAATATGAAGCTGTTGTGAAGAATTCAGAAACATTTCATATCATAGAGAATGAGAAACGATTGCTTGAATCTTGTTTAGCCGAAAAACAGTCTGAACTTGAAAAAGAAGTAAATAAGAATGCTGCACTCTCTTCTGCTCTAAACAGCTCTGAAACTAATATTCAAGATAGCTCTTCTCAAGTTCATAAATTGAAAGAAGATTGTGCATCCTTAGAAAATAAGTTGGCAATTTTATCTGGTGTTGTTTCAGAAAAAGACAAACTAATTGCTAGTCTAGAAAGTAAGAATGTCTTGACAGAAAAAGAGTTATCACATTTAACTTCCAGTGTTTTTGAAAAAGACAAATTCGTTGCTCATTTAGAAAATAAAAATGCATCTGAATTGAAAGAGTCATATGATGCAATTTTAGGTTTCTCAAATATGTTTGCTTTAAAATCTGAAACATGTTTAAACAACATTACAACTTCTATTAGTTTAACAGAGGAAAAATTAAAAGCTTTTGAAATTCAAATACCAAAATATATAGAAAAGGTAAAATCTTTAGAAGAGTCTGTATTTCTTTATCAAAGTTACATTAATAGTTGGTCACAGGAAATAGAAAAGTGCTTAAATTTTCTTCAATTAGGTTCCGTAGAGCTGCCATCAGAAATAACACAAGACAGATACAGTTGCAATAATTTTAATACTTTGATTTACTTTTTAGAAAAAAAAATCGACTCATTTAATAAAGAATATATAAAGTCCTATAATGTGCATGCAGAAACTGTAAACAAGCTAAAAGAGATTGAAAGGGATTTATACGAAAAAAATTCCCTACTTTCATCTATGATTTCTTATGAAGAGTTTGAAAAGTGTGAACTCAAATATCGTGATGATATGCAGGAACTTAATAATAAATTTAATTCTGAAATTAAAGATTTAAAAAGCACAATTAGCAAGCTTGAAAAAGATGTTACCACTCGTGTTATTGAAATAGAAAAAAAGGAAGCCATTATTATGGAACTGCAGTCATTTAATTCCCAAATTGCTCTAATGGTACCTATTAGTGATTTAGATGTATGTAAGAAACGAGAAGAGGAAGTTACAGATTTCAATAATAAGCTTACTACCGAAATAAAAGATTTAAAAAATGAAATAGCAACCTTATTGGCAAGTGTCAAAGAAAGGGACATTATAATTAAAGAATTAGAAAATAAAACCAATCAAATGACTTCAATGATTTCAGTTAGCGAGCTTGAAAAATGCAGAGAGAAGTGTCAAGAAGAAATTGCAGAAGTTACTAGTAAATCCAATTCTGAAAGACAAAATTTAGTGGATATTATTTCAAAACTTGAAGAAGAAATAGCTTCTCACGTGTGTGCATTAAGTGTTAAAGAAGATTTAATTAAAGATTTAGAAGTTAAAGTTAGTCAGGTGTCTTTAATGATATCTGGGGAAGATTTTGAAAAATTTAAGCTAGTGAAAGAGGATGAAATTGAAGCATTGAACCACAAATATAAGACTGAAATTCTTGGATTGAAGACTAATATTAACAAACTTGAAGGAGACGTAGCTAACTATATCACTGAGTTAGAGAAGAAAAGTGATGCGGTGCACAATTGTGAGATGAAGGTTTCTCAGTTATCATCTAACATTCCTGAAGAAGAATTTGAAAACTACAAACGAAATACCACTGTTATGCTTGATGAATTAAAAGAAACACATAGTGGTGAAATTCAGGCACTAAAGGCAGAGACAGAAAGACTTCATTCTGAAATAGTTAGGCTTAGATCAACTAATACGGAAAAAGACACAGCTATTCAGGAACTGTTTAATATTTCTCTCCAATTAAATTCTATAATATGTGTAGATAAGTATGAAGAAAGTGGGGACATGTTAAAAGATTTGAATGTTATTTTGCTTAATATGAAAAAGAAAGTTTCTCAATTTCTAAAAACAATTGAGGACAAGGAGATTCAAATTCAACAAATTTTAATTGAACAGGTATGATTAAAAAATATGCTAAGCCTTTATTGATTAAATAGATTTTCTTTTGACTTATATTAAGTGCAGTTTTGGTTTTATATGTTTTTTTTTGTGCTTTTTTAAATTGATAAAGATTTTAAAAGAACTTGACTTATATATTAACTAGTTAGAAATTTCATTGTTAATATGGCATTTATATGCTTTGGTTTATTTTTAAATATGTACTAGTTAATATTGTTGTAATGAAAATTGACAAACTATATGTCTCTTTTCATTTAATATTTACTTCTGTTATCAGAACTCACCGCTCAATGTATCTTATCTCATAAATTAATTAATATAAAAAATTTCTGTTTAATAGGCTTACTTTTTGACTATTTAAAAATAACATGTATTTAGGTTTACTTTCTGCTAAAATTTAGAAATCAAGTCAATGAATTACTTACCAAAATCTACTTTAGCATTTAAAAGTATGAGAGTATTATAATATCCTAAAAACATGAGCAGCATATTCTGTATCCTAGTTTTAAATCCTAAATATACAACTTATCAAATTCCTTACACTGAATCAGTTGCTTGTTGAGTAATGACTAGGTCTTTAGAGAAAGGAAGGGTTAGTCATAGGCATCATTTACATGATTATTTGGAAAAAATAAACTTTTTTTCTTTGACTAGTGTACACAGTGATGTATACACCATCTATGCTAGTTACTATGTTACTCCTCCAGGTTTATTTAGTTATAGTGTTAATCTACATTCGTTATGTATACGATATATGTATTTTAAAACAAAGTAATGAAAAAGAGCAGAAGAAAATGAGACAAATCTCTAACGTTAAACATTGATTCAAAATCCAAGGATCTTGGAAAAAGCCTTAAATTACTAGTGTCATAATTATTTAAAAACGACATACTTGGTAATTAGTGTGTACACTATAAGGTTACTGATCATTAAATTAGATTAGGAATTAAAGTAGCAATTTAATTTAAAATCATAACTTCTGAACATTATACAAATGTGCAGTATATAGTTCATCAATTTCTAGTGATAGACATTTAAAATATCTTAGTTATTATAAAACTATAATTTGTTAAAATTTTTCTCCAAATTTTGTTTTAAAACACTTTTTAAAATTTTTTTATATGTATACAAATATATGTTTATAAAAAAACAAAGTTGAAAGTGCTTAAAGAAATTTAATTTTTGACTTCTTTTTGTTTAACCTTAATTCTATTTTATTATTAGAATTAGTTAAAATTTATTTAAAAAAATGTTTTTATCTTCGTTCTGCATCTAAAGGCCAACAAATTTTGTTGCATTTGTTAGCAAAGTTGCAAGTTACGTTCAAATTCTAGGTTTAAAATTTATTAAAAATGAGGAACTAAACAGTAACATCTTAATCAATAATAATATTGCTTTATAAATATCAAAGTAAAAATATCTAAAAGTAACAACATAATTAAATTCTACCTTTAGTGGGCTTTTAAATTAAGCTCTTGACACACATACTGAAATTTTTAGACATCATAATGCGTCTAAATATTTTCTTGAACAAGAAATGATGTGTTGCATTTTATTTGGCTATAGGTAGGATAAATTTTTTCCAATATTGGGGCAGTCCTTGACATATATTCGTATTTCTTATGTATGATTACATATTTTACAGTCCTTGAGAAAAAGGAAAAAAGTGGTAGTGCTTTGTTTTCAGTCAGCTTTTAAAGCAAATAAAACTGCATGACACACTCGTTTCTGCCACAACTGCTAATTAACTTTTTTTCAGAATCAAATGTTACTTTATTACATAGAACTGTTATGAAAATATATTCACTGCTCTTATGATATATTTATTACCAATTATTATTATCATTATTATTTTTATTTTTCAAGGACTGTACAAACACTGCTACTATCTTATGTGTAATTTTATTGTTTCATCATTGTTGTTTTGCTTGTTTTTTTTCCATTCAAATAATATTATCTGTTTTTTAGGGAAATGCCAAAGTTCAAAGCGAAGAAAATATTAAATGTTTAAAAGAAAAATATGAAAATGCTGAAAAGAACTATGCTACTCAGTTGGAAGAAATGAAAGAGAAAATAGTGACTCTTGAGAAACAGAAACAGAATCTAGAAGAAGAAACTGTAAGTCTCAAAAAAGTCAAGGAGGAGCTCAGTGAGAAAAAATCTAAATTAAAATCACAAGGAGATGAACTAAAGAAGGAGCATTTAGAAAAGGTTCAAAAGATGCAAGAAAAGATGAGAGATCAAGAAAATATGGTCTTAAAATTAGAAACTGAACTTGAATCTTTGGCTAAGGAAAGCTCTGAAAAACTAGAAACACTGAAGAAAAAAATTAAAATATTGGAACAAGAACGTGAACAGTTAATGCAGCATGCTCAGGAAAGAGTTTCAGCGACTGAGGCTAAATGTCGTGAAGATACTAAGCTTTTGCAGGAGGAAATAAATAAACTTATTTCTGAAAACAAAGAAATTGTAAGTTTGATTTTGTTTACTTTTCTGAAATATTGGTTTAAATTTTAATTATTTTCTTTAAGCACCTTATTTATTTTAATGTAAGACAGTTTTAAGTTTTTAGATCTGCAGATTTATTTGGTTTTTATGAGACATCTAAATTTGAATGGTTGTAATAAAATTTAAGTAGAGAAACCTGGTTAAGTATTAGTGGCCAGGTATAGCTGGGGGCATAATTCAAAATTTAAATGTTAAATGGAACATGCATCATCATCCATTTCAGAACAATTTTTGAAAAATCTGTATCTTATGCAATTTTAAGCTTCGCTTATCATTTCTGTATTCCTTGTTTGAGTTAGTCTTTAGTCTTATATGTTTCTTCATTTTCTAAACTTACAGATGTTTATTGCAATATATTGAAAAAAACATAAAAGAAAAAGGTTTTAAATTGCTACCTGTTTTTAGGTTTTTCCAATCTGCCGAGATTGTTGAGTTTTTTAAATTAAAAGAAAATTAAAAGAAATAAATACTTTTGACTGAGCGACTTACTTCTCCAATGACGTAATTTCTTGTAAATCTAATCCTACAATACACAATGATCTAAAAAATACAGATAATCTATTCTAAAAATTTTTTATATTCTTAAAAAAAAATGTTTGTTTTGTTTTTAATTACAAATGATTACAATGACATTTAACTCTAGTGTCTAAGTTTAATACTAAAATTTTTAACCGAAGATGGTAAAATCCATGATTGTTTTAAATTTTTATTAATAAATACATTGATTATGGTATAAAGTTTTTGCATTTTGGGTTTTAAATGTATTAAACTGCATTTAAGTAGAAATTTTACATTAGGACTATCTATAAATACCAGTATTTAACAGAGCCAATATTTTGACATTTGATATTGTTTGATATGCTTATACAAAGGTAATGTGTACCTACTAAAAAGTAATTTTTAGAAAATATCAAAAATGAAAATTGATATTGATATCAATATAAATTTTTTTCATTCAAAACATGAGTTAAAATTTTTGCAGAAATACTTACATATTTTTTAGCTACTACAAAAAATTAATATCAAATTTAATTTATATGACTAGAAATAATACGACTGACAATGGAAACTCAGAATTGCATTCGAGCGAAACCACTCCCATGTTCAGGACAATCATACTAAAATTTTGTTTGTAAGGTTTGACCTAAAAACTTTTATTTCACTTTAAATCTATATTTTAAAAAAAAATATGTATCTAAAGTTGACTTAAATGTTTCATATATGATACATACAAATTAAATTATATTTAAATGAAAAAATAATATTCTTTAAAGATGTATGTATGCATTAACTATCTTTGTATCAAATGTGTGAATAATAGGTTTATATTCATATTTATAAAAACTAAGTTATGTAGCAAATTGAAAGGTGAAATTATGTTGGTTTGCATCTCATATGACATTTAAATTGTCCATTTACATTTAGTAACTTACATACAGAATTAAAAATTTAGTGATAGAAAATAAAAATATGGATGTAAAATTTCATTTATCAGTTTTTGATAAGTCTTTTTTCTTCTATCATTTTGAAGAAGGAAATTAGGGCTAAATGAATAATATAGTTGGGATATGCAAAAGGTCCAAAATTATGAAGTGTTTTTTTTAGCACATTGCATTTAATAACTATGTATTTAATAACTATATTTGATAATGCATTCTGGAAATAAAATTTGTAATTTTTTTTCAATGAGGGTTTAAAATTGAATTTAAGGCTGTTGATTTTATCAATCACTCTTTAATATTGATTGTTGTTAATTTAACAAAAGTTTTATTTCAGTTTTAACTCTCATTAAATCACCTTATTTTTTTAATGTGCTTAATTAAATAGTTCTTATGTTTGCTGTTTTGTTAACTGTAGAATAACACTGTGCTTCAATTATTGTAGGATCAGCTGAAATCTAAAGTCAACTTGTTAGAGCAACAGCTACAAGAAAATCTGAAAACTGTAGAGTCATCTAAGTCAGAATCATCAGAGAAGCTTTCTCAGCTAAAAGAACAACTTTCAGAAACTGAAGAAAAGCTTCACAAAATGGAAGTTGAGAAGCAAGACACAATAGGTGAACTTTCAGAGCAGCTACAAAAGATCAAAGAGGAAAATTCTTTATTAATGAATAAAGCAACCCATCTCGAAACTTTGAAGTCTGAAAAAGAAGCATTGAATGAAAAACTGAAACAGGCAGAATTGCAAGTTTCTTCCATTAAAAAGCTTGAATCTGAAAGAGACACTTTAAAACAAGAGAATGCTTCACTGGTTGAACAACTTCATTCTCTTAAATCTTCACATAGCAATAGTGAATCACTTGCCTCTGAAAACGAATCATTAGAAGCAACAGTTAAAGATTTTAACATCACTAAACAAAAATTAGAGCAAGAAAATGAAAAATTAAGAACTGATTTAAATTCTTTAAAAGAATCCCTGAATAGTGAGGTAAGTTCTCTTAAAAATAGAAATGAGTTTCTTACAAAACAAATAGACTTATTAGAAAAATTGGATCCTTCTGATCCAAGCAGCTTATCTGTTAAAAACTACATTGCATCAGTGCGTCTAGAATGTGAGAATGCATTGAAAGCAAAAGAAGATGACACGACTACAAAACTGAAACTTCTTGTTCGGGATTTTGCTGAGCAAATGGACCTGAAGGATCGTGATTGTGATAAGATCACTGGTGAAATAATAGGTAATAGTAGCTTTTTATTATTTATTTAAATGTTCTCATTTCTTTTTTATGCATATAGTGCCGCATAACAGGTGTGGGTTTTGATGTTATCAGGGTCCGCGCTAACTATTTGCCATCTCGCTAAATGTGGTAATATTGTAAATTTGGCAAAAAAAGAAGAAAAAAAAAACGTGTATTGGCAAAAGTATTGACAAATGATTTTTTCTTTTGAAAAGGAAAATATATGTTTCCCTCAATCCTGAAGAAAAGAAAAGGTCAAAGAGAATATTTCTGAACAAATCCTGTATTTTTTATTCGATTGCAGTGCCAGCCAGGTGGCTGAGCGGTCAGCGTACTTGACTGTGAAGCCAATGGTTGCTGGTTCGAATCCAGTCTAGGGCATGGATGCTTCTCTCTGTTGTGTGAATGTGGCCCACCCTGTGAATTGGTTTCTGTGGCAGTGTGGCGTGGGTAAATTTCTGGTTAATTTTTTTAAAACATTTCTGTTTCGTTTCTTTAAAATAATTTTTTATATTTGATTTAAAGAATTAATTATTTTATCTGTTTTTAAAATTTTTGTGGTATTTAAATTTAAGGTTATTGTTATTCAAAATAGTTTTGAAGTAATTTTAAATTAGTTATTTATAGTTTTTAGTCAAAGAGTAAGGTGTAAGTTAAAAATATCTAACCTAAAATAGACTAAAAGTTTTAATACACTATCTTTTAGTAATTACATGGACATTTAGCACTTACTTTTTTAAAGTACTTCTCTTTCAATGAAACAATTCCTTTATTTTAATGTGATTGATTTATTGATAAGTTATGTTTATACTTGTCTTGAACTATTATGTTGATTTAACTTTTGAAGCAATCTTTGCAGCATTGCATCTCAGACTTTCTTTGAAACTTTATCAAATCAATCTGTTTTTTAATATAAAGGCTATTGTCAATTTGTGTTTAAGTATAGAGGATCAGTGCATCTGTATTGTAGTCCAATAATGTTAGAGTATAGAAACCTGTCATCTATATTTCTATGAAAAATACAACAAAGTAAACAATTCTATTGTTGAATAATTTGTTTTCAAACTGTCTACATATATTCAAAAATGGAAGTTTATAATTAATATTTTGGAAGCATTTAAAAAAAAAAATATCACTAGAATCATTTTTTCAATAAAGAATTTTCTCTCCCCTTTCTCCTCCACAGACTTTTGGAGGTACTATAACTCAATCTACAACGAAACAAGGAGATATGCAAGGTTTAGAAGTTAGTTTTGTGAGAAGGGAAGAATAAGTTAACAGTTAACTCAATATAGTAGTTTTATGAAATTTTGCTGCTTAAGTTGTACTTTAAAAAAAAAAAAATTTCAGATCTAAAAAGGGTGATTCAATGTGTTCAACCTATGAAGTACAACTCAATACTTTAATCTATCAGTGTTTCTTTTTTATTAATCTAAAATATAATTGTTTTACCCATTTGTTAAGGGGTTGTAGAGCAAGTCTATTTTTTGCAAATAGTAATTTTTTATTGTTTTCACTTTACGTCCATCATTTTTTAATGTTATGAATCAATTAGGAATGATTAATATATTTTTTAACTTTTTTATATTAGAAAGAAATCAAGATCTTGAAGAAAGGCTTGAAAGAGAATATAAAAATCAAATAGCAGAGTTAAGGCAAAATCTCTTTGAAAGAGAATGTGCTTATGATGATATGAGAGAAGATTATGAAGAGAAACTTCAAGTAATTGTCTTTTTCTCCCTATTTTTATTATTTATTTTTGTATATATTTTATTATTTTTTTTTTATCTTAGTCCGGTTCCATGTATTTGGTCCAATATTTGATCAATTCAATTTGAAGAACAACATATTTTGATATTGATAGATATCTAATATATATATATATATA